GAGCATGTAAGTGTGAAATTGGAAAGCATCATTGCAGGACTGCCACGAGCCACTGCACTGGCGATATAAAAGGGGGTGGAGGAGGGAATGGGATGGGCCAGGCAAAGGGAGAAGAAAGGAGAGACACAGACAGGCAAGGAAGGTGAGCCCCAGGTGTGGAAGGACAAAAGATACTGGCCTGGGGAGCAAACTGATTTAAAAGTTCAAAGCTCGTTCATCCCGAATTATTATTGCACACTCTCATTTGACTTTTTAAACATGCCCCCCCACCCCACCCCCAACCGTGCTTCACTCAAGACATTTCCTCTGTGTGGAATGCCTATTCCTAGCCACAGATGCTCCTCAAGGCCCACCTAGCTTTCAGGTCAAGCTCACATTGTCTCTTCTTTCAGAAACACTGACAGCATTCGTGATTAATAAGAATGTAGACTTTGGGTCGGCAAGACCTGCTTTTGGAATCAAGTTGGGTGAACTCGAGCCCAGTTTCTTAACCTCTCTAAACCTCAGTTTCACAGTCTGTAAAATGCAGATACGTAATAACAAACTCGTAGGGTTACAACAAATATTTAATGAGAGGATGCACGTGAAGCGAAGAACCGCCTGCTCAATCAATGTCAGCTGCTGTTATTTTCACTGTTGTCCACGTTCCAGTCCCGCCTTCTCTACGTCTCAGGTGTAGCTCCTGTTACACTGAACTAGAATTACTGACAACCCTGGGTGCCCATCCCGCTGTCCCAGATGGAAGGAACAACGCTTTTATTTGTCTTTGACTCCCCCAAAAGAGCCTAGAACACTACCTAACATGTAATAGAGGCAGAGTAAACGTCATTTGGGTTGAATGCAATGACTACCAAAATCCTCAAGCTCATGATTATTTACTATTTCAAGTAGAAAAACATACCAAACAATTGGCTAAAGGTGACCAGATGATCATGGCAAGGTTCCCTGTCGTGCTTGGGATGAGAGTGGAAGTCTCTGGGAACCCATTCTGTGGTGGGGACCCTTTGTTCCAATAATAATGAAAACAAGAACAAGAATAGACAAATAACATGTACTCAGGATTCACTACATCCCAAATACTAAGTGCTTTACCCCTAATGAATCAATTAATCCTCAAAGCAACCCATGGAAAAGGGGCAATTTTCATCCCCATTTTACAGAGGAGGAAACTATGTAGGGTGACAAACTTGGCTTGCCTGGGTCTTGAGGGTTCTTGGGATGTAAGACTTTCAGTGCTAAAACTGGAAAAGTCCCAGGCACACTGGGATGAGCGTACCCCAACACTGAAGCACACACATTAAGGTCCCAAGGTTAATGAATGACCAGCCATGATTATAAACCCAGGACCCCCATCATCTCTACTGCCTGTAGCTAGCCACGTGACCTTGGGCAAGTCATTTAACACCTCTGGGCCTCAGTGGTTTTTGTCTTTTAAATGAAGGGATGAAGCTAAATCAGCAATGGCAAATAAATGGGAAACCTTGCCCATGGCAGGCAATAGCGATTGATTAGGCCAATTCTCCAGAACCTGGACCTCAGAATCCTTCTTAACCCAGCACACTGGGCATTCACAACCCATTTGTAGGAGCTGATGCGTAGCATAATCTCTAAAGCCAGCAGCTTTATCTTCAAAGTTGGTTGGTGCCAAACTAGCTTCCTGAAATCGTTCTGGTCTCTCAGGATTTGGCATTCAGACGAACATCCAAGCACTGCGAGCAGACAGACAGCAGTGGCAATGCCAATGGACGGACAGTCCCCATAGACTGGGCACTCCCTGTATCCAGTATTGTGCTACGTATGCCTCCCAGTACAGCATGGTGAACAAGAGCAGGGACTCTGCAGAGACTGGGCTCAGAACCCTGGCCCACCATTTACAAGTTGGGTGACCTTGGGCAAGTTACTTAATCTGTTTCTCAATTTCCTCAACTACAAAATGAGGCTTATAATAGTACCTACCTCATAGGGTTATCACAAGGATTCAATGAGGTAGTATGTGTAAAATGCTTAGCACGTGTGTTAATTACACGCGTTAATGTCATCAGAATCCTCAAAACCACCCTCTGAGGTGGATATTCTTATTTAACAGACGAGGGAACTGAGGTTCAGAGAGATTAAGTTGCCCAAGGTCACAGAGATAGTTAGGCAGCAAGAGCCGGATTCGCATACTTGCTCCGAAGCTTTTGCTTTGTCACATTGCATCTCAGTAAACATTCAAACACTCAAGGAGTCGATGGTAACATAAAAGTGACTCTTATCTGCAGGGACTTGCCAACCTGGGACTTTATAACCTGTTTGTTCCTGACCAGCATCACTTTCCCAGCTGGCTCTGGAACATCGCCTACTTTCACCCGTTGCCCATCCACATCCTTGGCAAAATAGAGAGATGCCTACAGATTTGAGCATCAGCCTGCAGAAAACCAGAGCACACTGCCAAGTCTCCAACTTCCAAGAAAGAGGAGAGAGTCTTTAAGATTCTGATTATTGGTCTTCCCATATCAGTAAAGTGAATTTTGCTATTTTATAGATCTGCATCTTCCAGGGAATTGAGCAAACACAGATTAGAGAAAATGGGTAAAAGGATTAAGCTTCTAGGTACCTATGCTGTATCTTATCTCCCTCACTCCCCTAGGGATCCTCCTAAACATATATCTCTTCTTGTCTTAATAATCATAGTTATTCACAAAAATATCTATTCTGGTAAACATTAAAGTTCCTAAAGCTAATATACTTCTCACCATGCTATTATGTCCAAAGAGAGTGAGCTCGTGCCCATGTTTCTAATTCATTCCATCTAAGGCTTTCTTTTTAAAAGCAGGAAAGGTGCTTAGCTTTATCAAAGATGGGGCTTCGGGTCTAACACTAGTGAAAAAGACCAGAAATTGGCTCTATTCCTGCCCCTGCCCAAAGGCTGCAAAAACCCCAGGTTTGGTTGTTATGCAGGTTGCTGGCTGGAGCTGATCAGGCAGTCTGAAACAGGTGACATGGAACTGGTGTGTTCCTCCGTTCAGTGACTCCACAGTAGGACATGACACAAAAAGGCCCACCAAGATCCAGAGAGCAGCAAGATGCAGGATGTCCAGCTCTCCATCTACATGTTCAGAAACCAGTTCAGTGGCTCCGACCCCTCCTCCTTACCTCACAGTCCAATAAGAAAGGCAGGCAGGAAGAAATGATCTGGAGAAACCTAGCGATGTGTTTTCCTCCAAAGGCTCTCACGTTGCTTATTAGATAAAGTCGGCTCCATCAAGACCAATTACTCTTTACATTCTAAATGGTTCCTTCCTTCTTAGAACTGTTATGCTCATGCCGTTTCAAAGGAAAGCAACCTCTTGGTTATTAACTGTGACTCTCAACGCACTGCCAAGGGAGGAGCCCAGAGTTATCCAGCAGGGGAAAGGGTCCTAGCAAGTAACAGTGTTTTTACCTCTAAAGTTTGCACTGTGAGCATGTGTGTCTAAGAGGCGAGAGCAGATAAAAACAACTCCCAGGGAAGTGCTTAAGGAGAGAGGCGGAAATGTTGAAAGCAATTTTAACAAAGGGGGTCCAGAAAGGACCCAAAGGGTAGCAGGTGGTAGACCTGCCTTAGAATCTGAAAGATCTGGACTCTGCCACTTAGTGTGTGACCTTGGAGAGGTACCAGACCATCTTCTGTCTCCTTCTCTGAAAACTGGTGATAACAACAGTGTATTTTCTCCAAGGTGTTATGAGACTTAAATGAGATAATGCAAGTCAAAAGCACAGTACCTCGAACTGGAGGTGTTGTTATTAATCATTACTATCAACCAGTTTGCCTTTCTTTACATGCCATTTTACACTAACATTATTTGACAACTAACATTTACAGAGCACTTACGACGACTAGGCACAGCGCTGAGCTCTGGGTTTCATAGGAAAATTAAGTCTTGGTTTGCTTATATTAACAAGCCAGCCTTAGGTTTGGGAGTATTAGTACTCTCTCACAGGCTATTAGGAGGATCACGTGAAAAAATGCCTCCCATGAAGTTTAGTATAGCGCCTGCCATCTACAAAGTCCTGAAGAAAAGGCAGACAGTCACATGACGGGCAAGCCCCATCTGCCTTGGTAACAAACGAGGGTGAGAGGGTCGACCTGAATCTGCCTTTTCGCCTCCCGCTTTGACCACACGCTTTGCTACCAGCTCTCACAGAAAGCTAGCCCCTAGCCTACAGCAGGGACTTGGCTCTTCCAGAACAACTACAGAAAAACCCAGCAGCTCAAGAGCTTGAAGGCTGAGGCGATTAAAACAGAGAAAACTAGTCAGGCTAGCAGTTACCCCAGCGAGCAGTAAAAATTGGAAGGAAGCCTAGGGGCTTGTGGGTGCTGGGAATGCTATTTCTTGATCTAGATGCTGGTTACATGAATGCGTTCACTTTGAGAAAACTCAAAACTTCTACAATTAAGATCTGTGCGCTTTTCTGTATGAAAGCTTCGTTACAATAAAAAAATGTAAAAGTAGTGACCACCCTCTCCGTTATCCAAAGCTGTAATAAAGCAGCCCTTCCCAACGGGTATGCCACAACTGCGTTATAAGCACGCCCCATCAGTCACCTGTGGCAGCAAGCAGCTGCGCATCGCTCTACCCTCCAGGGAGCTGTAGAAATACTATCACTTTTGGATAAGATTGGGAAGTACTGCTCTAGAGTACCAACGCAACAACATCTTCCTCAATCACACGAGTGAGTCTACCTTAAGGTTTTTCCTATCGCAGGTCAATTTTATTTCTCACTTTTTAATTAGACTGCTTTTATCATCTCCAACAAGGAGAGAGTACACTACAGTTAAGGGTCAGCACACCTAGACTGCTCTTTGTAAAACTCAGAGTCAGCCTTCGCCACGTCGTTCCACATCTGACTCATCATAAGGAGCAAATATCTGGTATATCCCTCCCTCTTCCCCAACTTCCTTCTCCCACAGTCGCTGGAGGGAAAATCTCAAATTTCAATCATTTATCAAGTCAATGCATATAACACAGACCACATGCTGGTTTTCTCTTTGAAAGTTTATTGTTATTAAAAACAAAACCTATACTTTTTACATCTTACATTCACCTCTCAGAACATTTATCGGTACCAGATAATGATGTCATATAAAAAGCCCACCAGATGCTTGAAATGGCTGCAAATTTTTTTACCATGTTCTGGTATTAAAGTGGTTTGAACTCTTTGGAAAAATTGGTATAACATTAATACCAAGATTTCAAATTCCCAGATTAGAAACAAGATTTTTAAGTCAGGAGGAAATTTAGCAAAGATTCGAGGCTAAAAGGAAATGTTAATAGAAAAACAAAACCAAAAATATTGTAAAAAATAGGATTTTCCCCCTCGAGTTAGGTAAAAAAATGCAACCAATCCCACCCCACCCCCAATATTTCTCTTAGAAAAGTCACCAAATCCTGAACACAGGGTCTTGCACACATTGTAAGCCGCTTTATTTGCAGATCAGCCTCTGGGATCTTACACTGGCCCCACTTACAAGTATTTTTTTAAAAAATTAAGTTAGGTAGTTAGACATCCATAAATACTGGTATGCAAATGAATGAAAACATCCTGGCTTTGGTATGGCTACAGAAATCTGGAAATTGTCCAAGAGGACACTGGCTTAGGAGAGAGGGAGTCTGGGTGGAGGGCACATAAAAACCCCCAAGCAGAGGTAAAATAAATATGGGGACATATCCATAGCAAACACTGTGTATAATACTGAGGCAGACGCCTCGAACAAAACACACGGAGAAGTTCCTGATTAGAACAACAAATGTAAAGGTTCTTAATCAGAGTAACACACATACAGGTTTTTGATCAGAAGTGTTCGGACCAACTTTTTTCCAAGTATCACTTGTAGGAAATAGTCTGAATTTGGGAATTCATCTGGTTCTCCGGGGTCTAGTGAGAGACAAAGACCTTTTGGAATAAGTGTGGCCACCTGGGCTAAAAGCCAGCCCCTTCTTATTCTAGGAATTTCAAAGTCTGTTTTTCCCCTCTAGTTCGCTTCTGCCCACCACAAAAGTACCTCCACCTCCTAACAAGGGAGCTCTTCCACCCCTGGGCAGCACAGGGGCTGGTCAGCACAGGGGCTGCGGACTTTTCATCCCTAGGGTGACTAACATATTAAATCTTCCGAGATTAGGAATATAATTTACTGTGCTGTGTCTCAAGTCTACTTCACATTTCCCCCCATCCTCACTAGATCATGATTAAGGGTTGGGAGGATATTGAGGAGCAGAAGGCAGTGATGGGGCTGAGATTGCGTGAAGCATGGCCTGAAACACTCAAATTTACAGAAGAGCAAAGGGCAAAGCACCCACACCCTGGTCTTCAAATGGTGATTTCACAAAAGCACAGAGATGCCACCAGACAAGGCGAGGAAAAAAGGCAACTTGCTGCTGCTTCGATGCTGAACCCCCAATGGTCATCAATACAATCCTTTCCTAAAAAACAAACTTTGGTGTGTACTGTTAGGAAGACAAATAAGATGATCATTTAAAAAAAAAAAAAAACACCTTTGATAACAACACACACTTAATATATCTAAATAAATTTCTATCACAGAGCACTAGATAATAACCAATAGCTACCTGACAATCTGGGATGTTACACACACTGGTGACAATTCAGGAGAGGTCCTCCCTTACAGCAAAGGCCACCAAGAAGAAACAAAAGGTGAAGCCCCTGTTTACTGTGGACTTGGTTCACTATAGTAAACATCATAACAAGGAGGACCGGGGGGTGGGGGGCAGAAAAAACACAGAACACCCAGGCAACTTTTAATAAATGAGCATCATTTATCCTGTTTTCTAAATAAGACTCCAACACCAGAAAAAAAATGAGAGGAAAAAAATGGGTTATAAATTAACACAAAAACATAGCTGTACAAATCTTTACTCCGAGTGAGTAAGGTTTGGTCTCTGATGAAAGCCAGGACTTACGAGAAGCTGATTTACTTGTCATCACAGACCCCCAGGTTGCTTTGGGGTGTGTACGTCAAGGGACAACATGGAGAGAATCACTTGAGACCAGGGGAATTAAGATTTCCTGGGGAGTCTAAGGTCTACTGAGTTCCCACAGAGGCTAACACTTACTCAAACCGCAAGTTCTTTAAACATCTTAAGGTGGCAACCAGAACATAGAAAACCCCATCACCCAACGAATCATTAGTCCAACTATGGGAATGAGGGAGAGGGAGCAGGGAGTGCAGGAAGGCTGTTTCATCAGGATTCACTAGGAAGAGCGCTGGCTTAGTGGAGCCACAGCAGAGCTTTCTTTGTCTTCAACCTAGGCCAGATCTCCGGGGAGATCTCCTGGGAGGCTGGGAGTGCCAACAACAGGGTTCCACGAGCTTGGAACAGCCAGTGTGCAATACTGGCATCAGCGACAAGAGGGCACTTTGAGTTATGAGTGAGAGTCTACAGATCACCGATTATTGCACTATCAATCCCACCTCCCCACCTACAAGAGATAACCCAATCATCAGCCTGTGGCAGGTCCCACTCCATCTACCTGGGAGCAGGGGAGAGAAATGAACTACAAATGAAAACTTCTGAAATGACCACTTCTTGTTCCAGCTTGAGCTAGAACAAATGTGTTTGAATAAACCACCTGCATTAAATAACATTTAAAATATGGTACCTTCAGCACATTATGAATATGAAAGGCCCCCTCCCCCAAGCCCGATTTACTTCAGTGCACGTAGGCTCCCAGGCATATTTTTCTGTCGTTCAGCCTGTGGAGTAGATGGCATACGCCAGATGTTACACCAGGCATTTATTTCTCCAAGAAGGCTGAGAGCCAGGAGAACTAATCTCCTTCTACTAGGACCTCTGCCCCAAGCTTCTGGGCAAATAGTGAATTGGGTTCAACAAGTGAAGTAGGTACGTGGTCCACTAATCAGACTGAAAGCATGAAAACGCACCGCAGAGTGGATCCCTTCCTGCTCCTCTTCATGGCAGAAAGACCGAAAGATGATTAATAAAGAGAGATGTCCCTTCAAACTCAAAGGAGGCTTAAAAAAAGGACAAAGTATAAGCAAAAACTAAAGACATAAGTAAATCAAACTCTCAACACTCCCAAAAGTAAAACAGTCTCATGGGGACTGATGGCTGGAAGAAGTCGAGGCCGGAAAGAATGACACAAAGATGGAAGTGGCTGGCCACAAAAGTGCCGTGCAGAATCCACAACAGTGTTCTCCATTTTCCAAGGCCAAGGAGCAATTTCCAAGTTAAAAACTCTATTAAGAAGAAAACCAAACCAAACCAAACCAAAAACCACTCCAGAAATAGGGTCAAGGGAAGAACACTGTAGAAAGTCAAGCCGCTGACCTCCGGCGGATGACAAAGAGCCCGCGCTGAAGCTGGCCCAAGTAAATCCTCATCTTGGTGCTGTCGCTTGTCTTCCTCACCCAGATCTGTGAGGAAGGAAAGGGAACAAGATGAGAGAGGGTAATACTGAGGAGCAAATCTTCCAGAGCATCGAAATATGTGCGTGAATCAGATGTAGGCACAAAACTGGCAACCTCTTCCTGTCCACCTGTGAGGGCTTCATGGGCACCTCCTGCCCTCCAGCCCTCCCAAGGCTCGCCTTTACTGAAGAGGGCAGTCATCAGCCCTTGAACTGGTTTCTCCCAGCCAATCCTCTTACGCCTTTGATTAAGAAAATGGAAATCATGGGTTCCATTTTTGCCTTGATCTTAAGGACTCTTTCTGATTTGGTTTGATTGCAGCGTTATCAACAGTCAAGATACATATATTCATGAACTTAAACTTTCAATCAACTTTGGAAATACTTCCCTTGCCCCAGGGGACTTCCATATTATAGCCTTTCAATACTCTGGTTTCCCGGCAACGAAGGCTAATGGCCATGACAGGAAAAGGAGGGGAAAAAATGCCCATGAGTGAGCAAAGGCCCAATTAGGATCATGAGAAGGCTAAATTAGCCTAAGACAGTCCTTCGCTCCTGACCGTGTCATTCTCCCACAGATGGGATCAGATGTATGACATTCTGCAGGGCAGATGCATTCTTCCCTAGAATTGAGAATGAACTCCTGTGGCAGGGAGGCTGCCAGAGGTGACAAGTACACTCAGTAACTGGCATCGCTGCAGTCAGGGATGGGAAGGAGAGTTGCCTCCTCAGTCACCTGACGCACCTGAGTGAGGGGTTCCTGTGTGCCAGACACTGTGCTAATCAAGCTGAGCTTTTTCATCCTGAGAACAACCCTATGAAGTAAGCTCTATCATCTCCCCCATTTTATAGAAAAACAAGGCTGAGTTCCGTGTCTGACGTGAATCTTGGCACCTGACATCAAAGCCCCTTGCTCTTCTCCACTAAACCCGCCCCTGACTCTCACCCATTCTCTCATCTGTTTAATTAACATGCAATTTGATGGAGCCCAAAGCATAATTCTTTTAAAGATCCGCATCTCACCCATATAAGTACAATTTTACAGATATATCTCCTCCCTCCCCCATGCAGTTTTAAAAAAGAGTAAGTTTTAAAAAAGCTTATTCTCAGCACCAGCCCCATGGCGTAGTGGTTAAGTTCATGCGCTCCACTTCAGTGGTCAAGGGTTCACAGGTTCAGATGCTGAGTGTGGACCTACACATCATCAAGCCATGCTGTAGCAGTGTTCCACATACAAAATAGAGGAAGACTGGCACAGATGTTAGCTCAGGGACAATCTTCCTCACCAAAAAAAAGGTTATTTTCAGTTTTATCTCAATTTCTTTAATGTAATTATTTAGTAATAAAGAGACTTTAAAATCAAATACACTGGTTTAAAAATAAAGTTAAAGACCTCAGATGAAGCTGAGTCTCTAAAGGACCTTGCAGAATCATTTTAAACTGAAAAGTGACCCCAAGGAGGGCTGAACTGGGGAGTCACCTAAACACTCAGATCCACCCACCAAATCTGCCTAGAGTCAAGTTACGCAAAGGCCAAGCTCCAGGGTCACTCAGGATTTGACCTGAAAACAAGCTGGAATACTTCCAGGAAGTGAGAAGTGTTTTTCCATGACCAGAGCTGCATGCCTCCAACGCACTGAGGCTTCTCCCCTCCAGGAGACGTGTCTCAGTGTCACCGTTTCCTTGTCAGACCTCGTTGACTCTATTATGTCAAAGGGTGACAATCTTCGACAGAGAAAAAAATCTGACTTGCATTTCTATTTTCCTGAAACATCTTGAGGTGTCACAGAGAAGAGTGCACTGTTCTGAGGTAGGCTGAAGGACGAGGAGGCTACACACGCTGCGTCAAGCAGCCCACACGGTCAGGCACAAAAGCTCTGTCGTGAAATCGTGGTGCCTCTTGCTGAGGAACAACAGGTCTGTTGGATCCCCTCTCCTGGTTTTGACTTAGCTTGAGGTGACACACAGATCCTGAGCCCAGAGAGGAATGACAGTCATTTATCTGGAAGGCTCTCCCTAACTTCTAAATAAACAATCATTTTGCAAACTAGTCACATTTGAGGGCATTTTCAATTCAGGAAGCTGGGACAATAGAAGAGGCTTAAGTTATTTCATAATCCAGTTTCATTAGATTTACTGTGCACCGGCATGAATAAGTTACAGAGGGTAGACACATAAAAATCAACTTCTTTGCAGACATTTGTGGACTGATAAAAGATCAAGCCAATCCAGCTATTAAAGTTTTAAACTTTTTCTTAACTACTAATAAGTTACACACTGCAGACATCCTCCTACTGAAGTGCTAGTCACATCATCCTTCAGCAGAACCCTCTGAGCTGACTTTAGAACCAGTTCCCATCTGACAGGAGAGACTGGAGAAGACCAATACCTACGGGCAGAAGCCTGGTAGCTCGCTGTTCAGAGGCACAACAGGACATGTCAGATTGGAAAGATGGCAGACAAATAGTAGTGTGGGGGTCAGATCAGGGCAGGATCCACTTATTGAGCACTTACTGTGTGCCAGACCCTGTGCCAGGTGCCTCCTTAAATCCTCACAGCATGAAACATATCTCAGTACACATGAAAGTGGTAGAGACATAACAAAACAAAGATGGAGTGTGTTCCACAGGCAAGTTCCATTCTGAGTAGCAGCAGGATTTGAATGCAGGTGTCACAAACTCGCCTTTTGTTCTTTCCTGTCGTCTAGCTAGTGGTTCCCAACTCAAGGACCATACAGGGAGTTCACAAATACCACAAGGAACACACAAATTCGCATATATCACAGTCAAGCAAAGAAAGGGATGATCAAGGGTGATTTTGCCCATGTGCAGTTTCTGCCTGAAAGTGCTGACTTCAGAACCTGACCCAAATTTTACACGATTCCACTGTACTTTCACGGTGGCACTTGCACTGCAGGTTCGTCACATTGTACTTGCTTAAAGGGGAGGGAGTCCAGTACCTACCTCATTGGCCCCCACAGAGCTGATGACACAGCTCAGTTTCTGGTTGTCCTTTGACTCCAGATAGATGGCTTGGCTCTTGTGGTACCTGCCCAAAACAGGACACGAATTTGTTTATTTTTAAATCACTTTAGCAAGGCATGATTGACACGTAAAATGCTGTACATATTTAACATACACAACTCAATGAGTCTGGGGATAAGCAGACACCCAGGAAACCATCACCACTATCAGGCCATAAACATATCCATCTCAACCCGAATTTTCCTCCACTCTCTTTATTATAATTATTGGTTCCGGGGGTTTTTTTTGTAGTAAGAACACAACATAGGATCTACCGTCTCAACAAATTTTAAGGATACAATAAAGTATTGTTAACAGCACAAACTTAAAAAAAAAGGGAAGGGAGGGAGTAAAAACAACAAAAAATATAATTAAAAGTCTTAACTATATTTGAGGAAGAGTCTGGATTTCAGGTTTAATTTAAAGGCTTCCATCCTTGATTAGATTAGATGACCTCCTAATATTCTTCCAGACATAAAACTTACATTCCTTGGTCCCTCCTCAGAGGGGAAAAAGGGGGCCGAGGAAAGAGCTGGGAAACTAGCTCTGTAAGTTTACCTTTTTTTGGACTAAGTGAGCCAGTTCAAAAAGTAAGTTAAAGCTTTTCAAGTAAAACCTCTGTTCCCACTTTTTGCCCCTACCCCAAAACAGTGAAGCAAGTTGGGTGGACAAAACCAATAGATGGACGTAAATAATTGTTCTGTTCTTTATTTTTCTATCTGGCCAAATAAGTCATTAACAAGGAAGGCCAAATTCAGCTCTCACTGTGGTCACTCATCCAACAAATACTCATTAAACACTTACTATGTACCACTGACTATGCTACAGGTTAGAGGTAGGCAGTGAACAAAGCCACAAGGACCCTGCAGAGCTTCAAACACAGCGGCAATGAAGAATATTAAATGATCACACCTAGCAAGAGCTAATTGGGTGAAGTTCTGAGTGTCATGACATGCACCAAAGGGTATCTAATTTGGCCTGGCCAGTCAGGAGAGGGGCTTTTAACGGAGTAGACAAGGCAGACACTCCCCTTTCAGCTCCTGTATCTACTCTCTTAGCCTGTAGTGCAGGCCCACCTTCAACCTCTACGAGTTCAGGGACAAGGCCAAGGATGAAAGTGAGGAAGCCAGGGCCAAACCCAAAATGGAACAACAGCTGCCACAGGATGAAGGAGCAGCTGCTGGATGACAAGAGTTGAAACATCAGCTGAGCTGCTGCTGGCAGCCCTGGCCTGGACCAGCCCTAGTTCAGTCAGAACATAACCTTTGGTTCATTCTGGCTGCAGACATCTGGCTAAACACACTCACTAACTCATGTGAATTCCACCAAAACCCATCCCAAGCAAAGCACTGCATCTTTTCATTATTTCTGTGGGGGAAGAAGGTAGACTCTGTTTTGCTGGTATAATGAAATAATCTACTGCCAAGATATCACAGTAAAAGATGTAGTAAAAGATGTACTTCACTCCCACAATGAGCTTTTTTCAATCTAAGTTCCCAGCACTCTTTAACCTGCTACTTAGGAACTGAAGACTCAGGTTTCCAAGTCAATTTACTTCCTGAAAACACTGTTAAGAGAAATAGAATCATAATGCAATTAGAAGAATGAGATTGGTTTAGATCCAGTTTTAAAGTTGCCTTTGGTCAAGGATGAGTTGCCACACTGGGTCAGGGGACCTTCATTACACTAAATATGCAGTTTTACAAGGTCTGAATTGTACAAGGCATAATAAGGAAAGGCTGAGTGAATTCACAGCAAAACTCTAACTTGAGTTTCCCTCCCACATCTAAGCCAGCTCACCTATGTAAACAGTAATGCCTTGAGTAATGGTTAGAATAAAAAGAGAGAGAGAGAGAACATTCAGTTATTCTACGGGGATTGGAAGTCATTAAAGAGATAAACACACAAAACAACATGGCAACTAGCCTCAAGTCACTCTGATACTACTTTCTGAATGCTTTAATAAAGAAAGGTCATAGGTATGGCACAGAAGTACATTACTTGTGTGGAAACATGCTCAATATACTGCTAAGTGGAGGAAAACAACTATGTCCATTATGTTCCTGTGCTTGTAATAAAACACATTACATGTATATCATACAAATAGGAAAAACTGGGTAAATTTATATATTAACAAATGTACATTAAAATTTTATAAAAATATAAAATGTAAATTAAGAACAGTATTCCTCTTATTGCATAGCTTTCTTTTTTCCAGAATAAACAGGTATTAGTTATAATAAAAAGTAAATATTTTCTTATAAGTCATGGTACTAGAAAATACCTAAATAACAAAGATGGAGTGGAAAGAAAACAATGTCACAAATTACCGTCTTAGTGTCTGCTAAAGACAGCAGTTACCTCTGGAGACTACTCACACAATTCTCATGGATGTTGCATTTTCCTTCAAATGTGCTCAGAGCCCAAACCCCAACATACCTGACCGGCTTTAAAGTAAACATCAGGAGTGACAATGCAATCTGGTCATCACTCCTGAGAAGTGGTCTGAGACCTGAGCATCTGGCCTCCTCCCAAATCTACCTGCTCTGGGATCACCAAACGGTGGTGACTTGAACATCCACCACTGGTCACCATCTGCTCCAAGGGAGGGCTGGCAGCATGTTTCCCAAAGCAGCCCACCCAAGCCAACTGATTCCCAGGTCCTCCTGAAGCAGAGCCTCTGAGACGTCCAGGGGCTTCTCATGCACCACACAAGTCTTGGGGAACCATGACCCTGGATATCAAATCTATTAAATTATCTGAATTCTCTGAAAAAAAATAAGCCTCAAAAATTAATGAGCTCACATTGGGGGCATTTTCAAGACAAAACCAAAAAGCATATAACAATCTTAACATACAAATTTACTTTCCAATTTCTAACAACTAAGAAAAATAAAGGGGGAAAATTCAAAATACACTTAGACATAAAAAAAATGTTAAAAAACATCAACAGGGCCAGTCCCAGTGGGCTAGTGGTTAAGTTCAGCACACTCTGCTTCAGTGGCCCAGGTTCAGTTGCTGGGTGCAGACCTACACCACTCATTTGTCAGTGGGCATGCTATGGTGGCAGTTCACATACAAAAAGAGGAAGACCAGGGGGCTGGCCTGGTGGCACAGCAGTTAAGTGCACACGTTCTGCTTTGGCAGCCCAGGGTTCGCTGGTTTGGATCCCGGATGTGGACATGTCATTGCTTGGCAAGCCATGCTCTGGTAGGCATCCCACATATAAAGTAGAGGAAGATGGGCACAGATGTTAGCTCAGGACCAGTCTTCCTCAGCAAAAAGAGGAGGATTGGCAGCAGATGTTAGCTCAGGGCTAATCTTCCTCAAAAAGAAAAAAAAAAGAGGAAGACTGGCAGTGGATGTCAGCTCAGGGTTAGTCTTCCTCAGCAAAAAAAAAAAAGAGAGAGAGAGCAACATCAATAGAAAAAATGTACATTATCACTTTTTTGCCAATTAACTCATTTTACAAGCTGCAACTCATCTCTGCTGAAAAAATACTTTAAAAAGCCTTAGAGAACAAGCCCCAAGTGTCAAATTTACTTTATTAGTAATGGAAATTCTGACCTGGGAATCCCTACAATTGAGCTCTTAAAGCTTTGCCTCTACTACTAAACCCAATGAACTAGAATCACCACCACTATTAAGGAAGAAAGTAATTTCTTTATAAGGTGGGTCCAAAAGTGGGGTGAGAAGGGAGTAGAATTTATTAATTTTGTATCCTACTGGGAATCCTGATATTAACCTTTCGTTCCTCCCTCCAAAATAATGTCACGTTACCGCTTTGGAATCTCAATGAGTCCCAATTCTAGTTGTTTAAATATTCACTGCTTTGAGTTAACAGCCTTTTGTGTCAACTGAAGGTTGGAGGGTTAAATCCAACTGAGCAACTCGGTGACTTCATTTCTGATTCACAGTAACAGCCCCAGATTTAAAGTGAGAAGAGAAAAACCAGTCCGCCGGCATCATGAGTTAGTGAATTATTTTAAAATATCAGCCACTCTCATGGTACTTTCTAAGAAAGGTCATTAGTCCAAATCAAAATGTGAGGAAAACTTACAGCTGGATATAAAATGCCTTAAAGCAGTATAAAACCAAGGCAAAGGGAAGATGCTTATCTTTCAAAATGAAATGTAGCTTGATAAGCGTTCATGCCAAGATGGGAAGCCCAAATCACACTCCTTTCCCTGAAGTTATTTAAAACTCAATGAAATCTGTTTTGCCAGAAATACTGTTTCACCAAAATACTCCACACAACTGGAAAGAGCATAAAGCTATTGGATGACCTCTCAGGCCGTGACCGCTGAAAAAGAAGGAAAAACGAAAGCCCTCAAACTGCCAAGGACACAAAAGCCAAACCTCAAGAGCCTGGTACAACGGGAGAGGCTGGCTCTGCACAGAGAAAGGGTCGACCAGGACTGCCCAGGAACACCTTCCAACACACAGGGAAGGGAGGACCTACCTTTCAACAAATGTGTCCTGAACTCTGACCACCAAGGCCAAAGAAGAAAAACGCACAGAATCCAGAAGAAAACGAGTCCCAAAGTTAACAAGAGAATAAGCTACTTTAAATTCATCGAAAAAGTAAAAAGCTCCCGGAGGCTTTATTTTTAAAATTTCTGCCACCATTGTGAGAAAGACAGTGAAATTCCTTCAAAACACTTAATAGGTCTAACACATCAAACCTGACCACTCTGTTTACATTATGAAACGCCACTGTGGATCCTTTCCTTAGAAAAACAAGAATTTCATTTTACTGCTTTTTCACCCTGAAGACACGTCTCACAAAATCTAAGGATTAAGCCTTAGAAAGAGGAAGATCTGAAGCAAAGCAATTACAAAACAAACATCATTTGAAATATCACATGGCTTTAGACTCATAGATCCGTAAAAATATTAGTGATAAATCTCATCATTTTTGAAGACGGTTCTTATGTGTTGGCTTGATCTTTAAAGGTTATTTGGTTTTCATTATTAGAAACATTTTTCATCTTATTTTGCCCCTCAGTGTGTTGAGCTGTTAGGGCCTGCCATCTAGTGGTGATGAGTTCTGATAAGTAATGTTAAATCAGATATAACTGGCCTTTTTGAAGAATGCCAAATAGGCAAATGAGAGGGGCAGAAGTCACTAAGATCAGGCTCACAGAGCAAGGATTCATCGTCTACGAGGTAGTTGACTCAACACAATCTAATAGGTGGAACTGACTTATTTCAGGCAATGACTAGATGTCCAAACATTTTTGCCAACTTCAGAAGTATACTATTATAAGGTAACCAACGAACACAACGTTGGGTATTTTCCCTTTAAGAAAGCTCAAAAAATTCAAAATAGCCATTGATCTAATTTTGGAATTTTGGGTTAAATAAATATATTGCAATTCAAAAGATCATTACATAGCCTTTATAAATGATAATTACAGAGAGCCTATAATAACCCAGAAAAACATTCTCCAGGTGGAAAGGCAGAACACAAATATGTGTCTACCATGACTTAAAGTGAGAAAGATACCGCCTGCATATGGACAATGAATAAAAGGGATATATCAGAATTAAAAGAGCTCTGAGAAGGTGGCAGGATCTGGAGTGACTTAATACCTAGCAGAATGCCTAATACAGAGCACACAGTAAATGTCTGCTGAATGAATAAATGTATAAGCTTTTAAGCTTCTTTCATATTGTTTAGCCATTTCCTTCCCAATGAAAATGCTGGTAGTCTGACAGTTTCAAACCATCTTCAATCTAAATACTAATTTTTAGGATACAATTCCCCCAAAATGTTTCCTGGAACACTTGTGCAGCGGGATGATGGACGCAAAAAGGTTACCTCAGTCAAATAAAGAACACCTAATAACATCTTAGAAATTCATGGTGCATATTAGCAAACCAGACGACCCAAAGAGTGCTTCAGGGAAGAAACCATTCATCTTAATTAACATGATCATCCCCCAAACTCAGTTGACCACAAAATCCTTTTTTCCACAGAACACCCATTAATTTTAGCACACAGGGAAGAGTTAAGAGGAGGCAGAGGGGCCAGCCTGGTGGCGTAGTGGTTAAGTTCATGTGCTCTGCTTCAGCAGCCTGGGGTTCACAGGTTTGGATCCTGGGCATGGACCTAGCACCATTCATCAAGGCATGCTGAGGCGGCATCCCACATAAAATAGAGGAAGACTGGCACAGATGTTAGCTCAATGACAATCTTCCTTAAGAAAAAAGAGGAAGATTGGCACAGATGTTAGCTCAGGGCAAATCTTCCTCGCCAAAAAAAAAAGAGGAGGCAGAGAAGGACATAAACCCTCTCCCCAGTCTACAAGGGGATCCACACAAGATGTGAGCCTGCAAATTCTAGTATGGTGACAGCAGCATAGAGAGAGAAGGTGGGCCACCACCAGAAGAACATGTTTTTGGGAAACACTGCCTTCAGAGATCTAACAAGTAGTACCACTCAAATGACTCTTGATACACTTTTAAGTATCACTCCACTCTCAGTACTATATAAGTTAAGCAGCAGCCACGCTCTGAACTAACAACCACAGACAGCCCCAGCCCTCTTTCCAAGTGGTTCTTTTGCGAGTCTTATGAGTAATCTGTGTTTTCCATAACATACCATCTTTTATCATAGTACAGTTTGCCATCTTCTATCCGAGCTTCAAATCTCTGGGCTGGAGACTCCGCAGGTGTGGCAGGCAAGTGTTCAGGGGAGGACGGGGATGCTGGAGGAACCAGAGATGTTTCAATGACTGAGCACTTAACAAACATGAGTCTACCAGCTAATATGCTTTAACTGAAATGCTATTAAAGGTGGAATAACCAGGATCATCAAGTTCTTACAGTTTTAATAAATAAGAATTTAACAATATTCTTGTATATTTCATCTAACTTGATCCTCGAGCAACCCTGTGTGGTAGGCAAAGAAAAGATTAACCTTACTGAACAGCAGAGAAATCTAAGGCTCAGGCAGGCCAAGGAATTTGCCCACCGTCACTTAGAGTAGGACTAAAACTCCAGGGATTATGAGCAGCCCAAAAGAGCAAGAACTGGGAAAATCTCTTTAAATTTATAAAACTGAAGTCATTTCTAGAAATATTTACTACTAGGTAGAACAGGCCATCGGATATGTATGGAGTCAAGCTAATACAGTGCTAATAACTATGGTGGGTTCAGATGATCTAAATTCACACACTCATTCACACAACCCCCTTCCCCATCATGCCTTCAGAAACTGAGGACCTCTCTGTGGACCACAGAGGCTCTCAAGAGTAAATTATTTAGAGAAAGAAGAATCTTATTTTCTTCCACAAGACTTGGTGAGCAGAGGGATGTGTGAGTAATCACAGTGCTTAAAACAAAATGTTTTGCCAGTTCAAAACTCTATTTTGCAACCTAGCAGAGCACTGACTCTCAAGTGCTGCTCTGGAAAGAACCACCGTGGGCACTTGGCTGGGCTCTTCTATAAGCTGGGACTGGGAGCCGCCTGCAAGTCCTTTTCAGAGCCAGGCCACAAAAAGCCACCGGAACAGCAGTGCCTAGTACTTAACTCCCCAAAGCAAGTGATACTGAAAAATCCTTCTAGTTTCATTTTCAGAAAGGGATGTGTACTTAAATCTTATGCTTGATGCCTACACAGAAGGAAACCTTTACCAGCCAATCAATCAAATGTCTCTTTTACAATAAATCCTAAGGAAAAGGCAAAAAATAACTTTAACATAGCTGGGTTAAAAAAAAAATCAGGGGAGGGTGTACTTAAGGTTCCCCTCAGTTTTCATGATGGCTACCTTAGACAAACCATGAACATTTTATTCTTAAAAACTGCAACAATTCCGTGTCAGGTATGCGCAGGCTTTTCCAACAACGTGATATAAAGATTGCACAAATGCCCATAACATCATGCACTTACCTGGTCTCTTGGGCGACTTAAGCTGTAGGAAGAACAACAAAAAATCTTAGAGAAAATCATTTCAGATGCAACTTAAGATGTCAAATGTATCAAAATGATTTAACAACATGTGAACAAAGTAAAGCAGAAAACCGTAGCAAGCCTAAGCTTTGAAATAAATCAGAAAATCAAACTGTACCTTATTTAACGTTCTCAGATCCTCCATGATCTGTTCGTCTGTTAACAAATAGTTTAGCTGGGGTGCTGAGAGTTAAAGGAACGTGTCTGAAAAGCACGGCTCCCAAGCAAACAGAAATCAACAAAATGGTAATAGTATTTTAGAATTTACAAAGTGTGACTATGTTAGATGATGTTTTTACAATAGCCTGCCTCTTGGAAGTTTTTGATTCCCCTACTAAATGTCGTGGTGCCCAGGAATATAAAAGAATTCACATCCCCCATCTTACAAACTTCTGTGATGAGAAGGTGGAATGAGATTCATTAGGTAACGATAACAGCGGGAGCGCAGGACACAGTAACAGAACTTCACTCCGAATTTATGAAGTGCTCTTGTTCCAGAGATCTGAAGGCTTTCACACACACGTGGGCTAACTTCTCCCTAGTAACTGAAATCCTCAATTGTGAACATGAAGGGACCTGAAGTTTCCTGGTGCCCTTTCCTGGTGGTAGACAAATAACTGAACCATTTTGTGCAAAGAGCTATTCATTATCTCCTCAAGAGGAGAGAAACAAGCCATCCTCATGTCCCCTCTTCCCATTCCCATTTTTATGACAAAAGGGCTTTTTTACATTTGATTGAAATTTGCTTTAACACCATTAGGGATACAGATAACTGAGACACAAAGGCACATGTTACTGTCCTCATGTTACAGGGGAAAAATTAAGGCACATGAAATTTTCAGTTGCCCTTAAATCTCCAAGTGAATATTAAAACCAGGTTGAACTTAGAACACAAAGTACCTTTCCAAATAACCGTTCTCTGTAAATCCCTCCCACTAAACACAGCAGCCATAATGAAATGGTCATCCTCTATCTCACGGATAAATACCTCACATACGCTTTCCAATAAAATATAACAATGTCTGTAGGACAATGGCCATACATATTCTATCGAATGGATAAGCAAAGGATTCCAGTAGTCTTAAGAAAAAAGTGATTAAGGCTTGACACAAACGGATATCAGGAGCAGGTTTTCTCCTCTTGTCTGGGATGGGGACGGGATCATTTGGTCGCCTCCGCAACTTTCTGGTCATGATGGGTTTCACTTCCATAGAATCTGTGGCAAGAATGGAATGGGTAAATCTATCCAACTCCCACCTAAAGTCAGTAAGATCTTCTCTAGTGTAAGAATATCCACCCCGCAGCCACCCAATCAGAACCGTTTTACTGGGGACGTTTGGTCCACACATGGCCCAAGCCAGACGCCCTCACCAAACTTCAGAGAGACAGTCTGTGCTTGGAGATTCAGACCGGCTGACCCAAGTGCACGTCCCCCTCAGAAGTGCAGCCCAGCCCTGCAGTCTACCACCGTAGCTGCTGCAGGCATCTCTCTGGCACCTAAAACCTGGGGATTTTCGTCCTCTCCCTTCAAAACAAGAGGCCACAGAGTGCTAGACTCTTGGGACTGGAAGAAACACTCGGATCATCTCAGTTGACTAATTCCTGCTGTTCCCACAGAGGGTGGGTGAACTGAAGCCCAGTGGTATAAAAGGCTCCTTTCAGGGCCATTGTGGCCTCAGTGCCAACATTTTTATATGAGCTCTTCATTTGCAACCTCAGAGTCTTTAGTTTATAACCTTCTGTAGCTACTTGACTATCAAGAATGATATAATAAAGGCCTCTTTTCATTCTTCTTGACGTCTCTCTGCAGTCTGACACTGTTGCTGACTGCCCTTGCCTTAAAAATCTCTCCTCCCCCAGCCACTGCCACACAAATCTCTCCTCTTGTCCTTATTTGCCTCCCTGGGGTCCTTTTCGCCAGCCTGCTCCTTAAATGCTGGTGATCTCTGAGGTCCAGTCACTTCTCAGGCCTGTATCCCAATGAATCTCCGACCACCAATTCCAGCTGCACCCACCCTTCTGAACGGCAAACTTTCCCCACGACACCATACACTCTCCAGGTTCCAAGTGAACTCGTTTCTTCTCCTTGTTTCAGCTCCCAAGGCTGCCTCTGCTCCTGCATCTCAGGGGCATCACATCTATCCATCCTTCCCACCAGAACCAAATCTGTCATCTGTGATGTGTCTTCCTTCCTCAGGCATCAAAGCCACGAGATAATGGCAGTTCCGCCTTTTAACTACCTCTCAATTCCACCCCCTCATCATCTCCTCACCTCCCTCAAAGTGATCTTCCAAAGACACAAATCACATCATTTTGCATATCACTCATTAAATATTTCAATGACTCACCATCTCTAGAGAATAAAGGCCAAGTCTCATTTCAGGTCTTCCTCACTTCTCCTTAACATGTATCCTGTGTGTGAGCTTTTTGCTGGTCTGTTACCCTAAGGCACTGATGTTTATGCCTTCAAGCCTTTGCACGCTGTCTTCTCTGCCTACCCTCCTCTCTTCATCCCGGCAAACTCCGTACACAACATCCTTTAAGAGTCAGCTCAACAGTCCCCCTTCTGTGACAGCTTCCACAGACAGTCCTGCCATCTTCCAACTACCCAGAGCACTTGTACAAACCTCTACTGCCAAGCGCCACCCCGTATGGGACATCTCCCCCAGCAGACGCTAGAATTCCACCCCAAGATGGAATCTGTCTCCACCCCAGCAACCAGTATAGTTCTGGCACACAGTAGGGGCTTCAGAGAGTTTCCTGCAGAATGACTAGATGGGGTCAGGCCTGTCAATTCATGACCATGCACACTAGCAGCAGAGCAGACGGCACAGCCTTATGGAACTCATATGTGGCCCTTCCACTATGGAAATGTGCGGGATCTGAGAGTATGTAATAAACATGCATACAAAGGCAAAAGACATTCCTGCATGTTGCTCTGAAGAAGAGAAATGGGCAATACTGATTTTCCCCCTCCGAAAGCAGTAAGAACCATAGACCTAATGAATATTCATAAAGGTGCACCTGGAAGCGGGGGGGGGGGGGGGGGGGGGGGGCAGAAGGAAGGGGGGCAAACACATACCCACCCCTGGGAAAAGGCGGGGAGCCTTCTCTCTAAAAAGAAATCTCTTACCCTGGGCTGAGATGCCACCCTCCTCCAGTTACTCACTGGCCGGAGGCTCTGAACCCCTGCCGCAGCTGTGTGACCTAAGGCAGGCTACGTAAATAGCCCAGGTCTCAAGCTTCCTCACCCATAAAACGGAAGTATCAGTAATACTTCCCTCGCAGGCTGTTGGGAGGATCACGTGAGATGACACATGCAAAGCCCTCAACACAGTGCCTGGCATAACAGGAGCTCAATCAATGCCAGTTCTTATTATTCACCAGGAAGAGACTATACGAGGATCTTTTTAAAAGTCAAGGTGCAAACAGCTGAAACAGAAGTTACAAGTGATATCAACTGTGAGGGTTTGCAACATTCAGATCTAATTTGGAAAACAAAGTGTGAAGGGAGCTCACCAGCCCTTCACATAGAAAGGGCACCAGAGAAAAAGCATCTAGCATGTGAACATTATGGAATGTTCTGTCCACCAAAGACAATGGCCGAGTGGCTGCCAAGTCTGGGGGGGTGGGCGGGCGGTGAGAAACATGATGGAAGCAAGCCAAGTACAGGTAGAGCTGAGAGGATCTGGGAACAACCCGGTCTAATCACGGCCAATACACTTGGAAAATCCTAACTGCATCATTCACACTCAGAAAATATAATCGAATTCTTCCTAGGAAATGGTGAAAATCAACGCATTTTATTAGCCTAGCCACAGCAATAATCTAGTCATTTTATCCAAAAGACTGCTTCAGCAGAAGGAAGGGGCTCTGAGGAAGCCTCCAAAGTTTGTTAGCATGTCCCCAACACCATCCAGGAGAGAGAGAGCAGTGCTGGCCGGTGGTCCCGGTGGAGGATGTGACTCGAGGGGAAGATGGACAAGTAAGCATCACACCCAAAACTACACAGTAAGATTATCTACTTCACTCACTTTGCCCCAATCCCAGGTTTGCCAGCTTGGCTTCTAAGGCAGATTCTTCACAGAGGGATGGGATATCCTGACCACCCGGGTCTGAGTCTTCCTGGAAGTTCCATTTCTCACTGGCAGCTCGACAGGCTGGCACTCTGAGTTTCTAACATTAGTATTCTGTGAATTTGGCCAGTAAGGGGCTCAATCTGGGTGCACTGACAAAAATCAAACTTCTGGAACTGAAACTCAGACCTTGGCAGTGGCAATCCTGGAGAAGGCACTTGAACAGGAAATCAGTCTTCCCCTCAGACATGGTGCGCCAGGAACAAAACCTCTCCAAATGGCTTAAATCAGAAAGCCTCTCTGATCCAGAGGACTCTTCACAGGTTCGCTTCAGTGGGGATACTATTTGCAGAATCTAACTGAACAGCAAACAATTAAATCAGAGGCAGGGGAGTACACATGACAAAAAGCACAGAAGAGGCCGCGAGACTAGATACACAACTCCTCTGTGAACCATCTCGTACAGAGGACCCTTAATAGTGTAAACCCTATTGCTGCGCTCACCAGAAGGCGAGCGTGAAGGGCCAAACCTGACCAATATAGGCACTCTCCCGGTAGCACTGGGTATGCCGGCTATGAAATGGGGGCGCAGGCCTAACGAGTGCTAGGCAGTCATTACAGCACCGCACAGAGCGACATTCCTGATAATATTAATTACCCGCAATTAACACACAATTACCATTTACTGGCTGGCCTTTTGTTCTGCACTTCTCTAGCCCTAGACTTTCACTCCAACAGCTCACCGGCCTCCAGTGTGCAAGTGCAATACAAGCTTCATTTTAAGATACTTTAACCATTAAGACAAACTCATACCTGTTTAGCTATTGAAAAACATCAGTTGCAGTGACTCAAAGGAGCATCCTTAAGAACAAGAATGTAAGTAGAAGAAAGAAAAGCCCCCACAAACATTGTGGCAGATTGGCACTTACCCCCAAACCAGGGTCAGTACAATACGGGGCTAGACTAGAGGCCCGGAGCAAACCCCAGCACACCCCGAGCCCCTCTCTAATGGGCGACAGGCTCCTCAACATCACAAACCAATGCTGCAGTGGCAACCATAAATGCCTGCCTGTAGGAGGTGGGAGGGAGGGCAATATAAGAATCGAGGTCACCTCAGGTCTTCAGTGGCCAAACCAGAGCAGGCATGAAGGGAGAAATCTCCATTAGGCCCAAGCTGCCCATAAGGCATGCGCGGCATTTAAAGAGTGACTTGATGGAGCCCTCCTCTGCACCCTCAACCACTTACATAGCCTGGATCCTGCAATGGCAGTATTGGGGACAAGCCTGCTCCAACCAAAAACCAAGTCAAGGCTTCCATTGTCCCCCTCCAGATATTTGTGCGGGACTGCTCCTCCTATTCTTGACTTACACAGTTCCCTGCTCATTGACATGTTACATATTGTGTGAAACCACTGCTACATCAGGACAACCACATACACATTTTAAAGGTTTCATAATCAGTAAAAACGAGCCTTACAAATCTTTACCTTCATTTAGGAGCCCTAACTCTCGACACCACCTCACGTTGAGGAAGACATGGAAGCTGTGTCAGTCTTGTAATAGAACACAAGGCCCTTGGGGATAGACCTCACCTATTAGCCTCATTTGGTGAACTACTTAGAACCACATGAATCCACTGTATATGCAGAGAGTCTGTATAACGTGGTAGTTAAAAGAACACGCTTGGAATCAATTCGGGCTTAACTACAATCTCACTGGGGCACTCTGAGCACACAGCTCCGTTCCTCTCAGCCTGCTTTGCCAAGCCAAGTCAAAGGGAATTGCAGGAACCGAATGAGGTTACAACTTCTCAATCCCTAACTGTTACTCTGCATGCCAGGCACTCTTCAAAGCATCTTATAGACGTTATCTCAGCTGATCTTTACACCAACTCTGCACAGCAGGTTCTATCATCTCCTGGCCAAATGAGAAAACCCCACCACAGAACTAAGTTCATGACAGGGCTAGGATTCATCTACAAGTGTCAGCCTGTAGAGGCAGCTTTAATATTTTTATACAATACCTGGCTCAACGTATAAGTACTCAGGAAACAGAGCTTCTATTCTGATAGTGTAATGACTCATGGCTCCAGTTATGAATCTAGTATCTTCTAATGGAAACTCACAGGCTTTACTGAGGTCATGAGTAACTTCCATAGGGGCCTGAGGGTTGGAAGATACCCCTACTGAGGCAAGAACTTACAAAAGAAAATGAAGTGGCAATTAGTGGGCTGTTGGAAGAACGGAGAAAAGGCAGCTGTCCGAAAGATAGGAAGAGGACAAACAAATTAAAAATGATAAAGCTCTCCACATTTTAAAGCTCATTAAGTTCTCACTGATTACTGAGTTACTTATAAGCTTGGCCTCAACTCCAGAGGACACTCAGATAATTCTACCTATAACCTCACTACTCAAAGTGTGGTCTGACTGGCAGCACCGGCAGCCTCTGGGAGGTGGTCAGAAATACAGGCTCTTGGTCTCCACTCCAGACCCACAAACCAGAATCTGCATTTTATCAAGAGTCTCATACACACATTCAAGTTGGAGAAGCACTGACCTACACTTATCCTAGGTTCTTCAGCGACAGTACCACATCTTTCTGCCTACAAAACCCAGTTGTCCTAAGTTCTCCACCAGAGGTCAGGGGGGTAGAGAGAACACCCACTAATTCCCATGGAGGTCTGTAAATGCTTTCAGTCCTGTTCAGACAGAGCAGATCACTGGTTACACCTGTTTCCAATAGGTTATTTGCTCTAAGCTGCTCATCAGCCTCTCATTCCACCTTGGTTTTCAACAGATCTTCATATTGAACCAGAAAAGGAGAGTTTAAGAAATATCTTTTCTGGGCAGAGGTAGGCAGCATGACATTGGGCATCAATCCACAAAGGTGAAATAAGTCACTCAGAGAGAGGAATGAAAACAGGCCTTAAATCCAGCACCATAGCAGCGCCATCTGTGGAAATGCTAATTACCCTTCGAGCTCCAGTGCCTTTTCTTCCCACACTCTATCATTACCCTGGCAGCGCTTTCCATACCAAGGGTACCAAACGGCTTGAGGAAGGACATCGGTACCTTTAATGCCCATGGCTAGCTCTAAGCACTTTGTAATCTATTTTACTGCATTACAAATGACTTCCCCACGTTTATTTGTCTTTTCTACACTGGCACGCTCAGCCTCAAATCACCAGGGATGCCTCCTGCCCCAGTTAAAACTGCCTGGCCAAACAATGTCTATCACTTGTCAACAACTAGGATGCCAAACCACAGGTAAGGGGATGCTATACTTCCCTGCAGATGGAAAGGGAGCAGTCATCAACTGACAATATTTCCCCCAGCCTAATGAAGGCTCCTCAACATCTGGTGGCTCTAGCAGAGAGCGATGAGGCATCAATGCCAGCCACAGCCACTGTCAAAGAAAACGGTGTGCAGCTCAGAAAACAGGCAGGCAGACTGGTACCGGACAAGGTACCACAGCACTCACAGTCTAATTAAAAAAGGATTTCAACAAGAAGAAGATGGTGCTGTCCGAAGATGCTATCTTAGCATGCATTCTCACCCAAAAAACGTTTCTTAGCCTCTTTCAGAGGCCTTCAAGGAATTAACTCATTTTGCCAAGTCTTTCAATGAGGAAGCTAACAGAGGAGAGATTTTTCAAGAGTCAGACTCTCACTTTAGACATAAGCACATTCTCACTGGTGTATCATGGGGATCGGGGCCAGAAGTGTGTGTGAACTGGAGAGCCACATTGGTTCACAGCACCAGAAACACAGTTCTTAACTGCTACTTTCAGTTTCAAAGTCAACCCCAAGGACTTACATGAAAACAATGCGTTTCCTACGGACGCCTGCTAAGTCAGACACACCAGAGCCCCAGCACCTTCAGAATACGATTACAAAAGTTAAATTTTGGGGTGTGCAGAAAGCACGCCACTTACACAGCCAAGTGACAAACTCACCACTGACTTTCCTTGCTGTATTTGCTGATGGAAATTTTACCAAGCACCAAAATAGCTAGTTCAAGCCAATTCCCGCCCTGTATCCTTCTAGGATTCATCAGTCTACATATGGCAACAGACGGCCCATACTGCTTCTCCCTACAACCCACTGAGTTCCCATATGCGCGTTACTAAATCCTAGAAGGCCAAGGGAGGGATTGGCTCTGAGTCTAATGTAACTTTACTACCTTTACAGGAAGAGTTCAGTTCAGCTACCCCTGCTGAAACTGTATCCACTCTTTCTGAAATGTTCCCAGTAACGGTTGGGAGAAAGGATCTAACAGAGCAGATGACACGGCTAAAAGCCTTTGTTCTCACATCTAGGTCAAAGGAAGACAATGTCTTTTCTGTAATTAAGGCAGACTAAAAAAAGCAAAGCAGAGGGACTCCCAGCACCACAGAGGGACCTGGGTAATTTGTGAATGTAAACCAAGACACGAATGGCAGCTGACCCAGGAATTACAGCATAAGCCAAAGGCTGCAGTTACCATTAAAGGTCTACCATTTATTGAATACCTGTTGTTTGAGCACTACACTAGGCACTCATATTTCTAACCACAATCCTGTGAAACAGGGTACGACCAGCCCCATTTTACAGACAGGGAAACAGGTTCAGAACGGTTTAGCAGCTTCACTAAAGTCACACAGCCAATGCAAGATGGAGCTAGAACTCTGACCTGTCATATGAAAGCCCACTATCCCTTCAGCTTGCTCTGCTCTGATGAGACAGGAGTAACTGGAATGCCCCTCCAGGGCCCCCAGGATCCTGCTCCTGGTGCTTACATACCTCCAGTCAGTTCCATTGTGAGCTTTTCATTTTCAATCATTTTCTTCTTTTCTTCTAGCTCAGCAATCAGGTTCTCTTTCAGCTCAACCTTCTTGTCTTCAAATTCTTTCACTGCTGCCTTCTTTTCTTTAATGTAATTTCTTTCCACTTGTTCAGTCTGAGAGAAAGAGAAATAGAGGCTAGAGTACCTGGCCCTGGAAGTCAGGGCTCCAACTCGAGGTCTGGCTCCACACTCAAGAGCAAAGAAAATACCTTTACTAGAAATATGAGAAACAGCTGCACTCACACACACACCTGCAGAAAGAGGGTGGCAGGGAACAAGTTTCCCAAGGAAGGCATAAAATCGAACCACACCCCTTCCGCTCGTTTCTATGAGCGTGCTTCACTTGCTATTCAGGTATTTCCTTTCTTCCACATCTTATATTTTATGGCTTGTATGTTAAAATAGAACATAAATGTCTCAAAGATAGTAAATAAACCCTTTTAAGGACACAATGTAGAAGGAAGATAGTACATTCCAGATGAAATATCTATATTCAAAATTAATTACAGAATACTGAGTCAAGATAGCATGAGTTACCTTATTTTTCGATACTTACAACTAGATCAACTAGAGTAGAAGACCATTTATTAGGTGCCTGAACCCCAAAGGACTCAAACATTGAAATTATACTAAAGAAATGTGTAAGCTTCCATTTTCTAAATCTCACCAGTGCATTAAGTGAAGAACAAGGGGGCTTACAGTGTCTATGGCTGTGCACGTGATCCTTCAGCCTGTGACTATGTACATTGCACTGACTTCACTAATAAAATGGTTTCCAATAATGTGGCTCTGATAAACCATGACTGTCTCACACTCATGCACAGCTCAGCTAAACTCATGACCCCCTACACACACCCCGACACCAGCCACCCAGGAGCAGTACATCATTCACGATTCAGGCCCTTATCTCTCTACCAAAGCACTGTGCCTCACACAGAACCAGCTCTTAGACGTTTGAATGAAAGGAAAAATTTTAAATCCATCTCTCCTAGTGACCCAGAGAGCTTTAGCTGTCAAACTGAACGGCTGAGCCAATTCAGAGACTGGGCTGCTTTAAGGACCAATGTAAGAAATTATTAGGGCTTTATAATTCAGACATACTCCCAAATGGCTTTAACATGAGACAAAAGTCAACAAGAAAGCAGTGAGGGGTGAGTATCCCTTAATCCCCTGCAACAAGCAGAGGCTGCCCAACCAACAAATGAACAGACAGAAGTTCTGAATTGAGACCAAAAGTCCTTTGGTCAAAGAGAACAGTGACGAAGGCTTCCAGCTGGGGGCTTCCCAACTATCTATGTGGAGATAGGAGGAAGGGCCACCGGATTGGGAGAGAAAGACTCCAGTCCCAGAAAGAGCCCGCAAACCCAGAAGATCCATGGTACTTACTTCCAGCTGCAGGAAGAGTTCTGAAAGAGATAAAATGTGCAATTAGACTCGCTAGGCTCTGTCACCTTTCTAGACAGTGATGTTAGGACTCATTTAGAAGTAGTGATTGCTTTCTGAAAGCACGGTTACACAGAGCAAATGCTTTCATCAGTAAAGTGTTGATATACATGAAGGGGAAGGATGCAGGAAGTTCTAGTGTCTAGTTCAAATTTGGCCCTGAACAGAATCGTCTCTGGCAGTTCTGCCCAAGGGCAAAAACAATCAGCAGGAACCGCACTACCTCGGCAAAATAAAAACAAAAGTTATCCCTTCTTTCAGTCAGTACATACTGTCCAATGGTCCTACAGGGCAGGATGGGTCACGAAGAAACAATGCAATTACTCCAGAAGGAGAGTCAACACTGACGTTTTTAAAGCACTGAGTGAAGGCCCGTGTGGTAAGGAAGGACACCTCCTGAGAATTCAGGGGACAGAGGTCCCGAGCCCTCCTAGGCTTTCCTCTCAGGCCACCAAGCTTCTCCTCGTGCCCATGCCTCCACCAGCAACACTCTCTGGTCTCTCTCACTGCACTTCAGATCTAATGCAGCCTCCTCCATGAGGCCTTCCCGGAAGACCCTTCACTCACCAACCCCCATGCAGACACCTGAAAGCATCCACCCTCCAGTACTCAACAGATGCTTCGGCACCCACCATGCGCCAGGCGATGAGCACCCGCTTACCCAGCAGCTCCCTCCACCACTTGATTATGGCCCTTCTACAAACCCGGTACTTGTAACAAAACCGGGCTGTGGTTTCTAATCTTTCCTAGGTGACAGCAGGGCTGCTGCACACAGTCCACAAAGATTGTTGGTGGACCACTAACTTCACTGTTCACATTTTACCATGGTCTCCTTTGCAAATCTGATAAATCCTATGGATCCATTCCCCATCAAAAAGCACATATGCACATTCACACACACTTCATAAAATTCTAAGAGTGTCAGGGACTCCAGATTAAGAATCCAAGTGTCAATTAACAGTTCAACGGGAAAATTAATTGAGAAAAGGGACAAGCCACTCTATTTTCTAAGCCCACAGAAGCCCTGATCATTCTGGCACTGGGAATAACTGGGCACACGAGCCCAAGCACACTAGCCCAACATGCTCACTCTTATGCTTGCTTCAGACTTGTACCACGCACGAATGGGCTGGACATCTGAAGTTTGCGCCACTCTGAGAAATCACACCTGCACCAACAAGTGAAACCGACAACTAACCCTTCGAGTTGGTGGAGGTTGTTTTTGTTAAAGCAGCAAGACACCAGACACGACTAAGGCAGGTGAGCTATTTCTGCACAGAATGTGCTTTTTAAAGCTCAAGACATGACTGATTTAGGACCGCATCTGCATTTTTACCAGGGAGAGGGAGAAATGTTTATGGATGAACACAGGAGAACAGAGCTGAGAGTGGAATTAAGAAAAACAAGTCAGGGACTGGACCCGTGGCACAGCGGTTAAGTGCGCACGTTCTGCTTCTCGGTGGCCCAGGGTTCGCCAGTTCGGATCCCGGGTGCAGACACGGCACCGTTTGGCACACCATGCTGTAGTAGGCGTCCCACATATAAAGCAGAGGAAGATGGGCACGGATGCTGGCTCAGGGCCAGGGTTCCTCAGCAAAAAGAGGAGGACTGCCAGTAGGTAGCTCAGGGCTAATCTTCCAAAAAAAAAAAGAAAAGCAAGTCAATACTCACCTGCAGTTCTAGCTTAAGAAAAATGGTTCACATCAATTTTCTTTCCTTACTTACATCTTAAACCAGTTTCATGAGGTATCAGTATTCCCCTCTACAGATGGGGAAACTGAGGCTCCAAGAGCATGTAACTTGCTTAAAAGCACGAGACCTAAAGTGATGGGAGGAAGACCTAACCCTAGGACCGCACCCTTCATGGCGCCACCTCCTTTCCCTACTAAAAGGACACTCCAGGAAGATGGGTGAGGATTTCCCAGATGTCCCAAGGAGATGCCTCAGGAACTCAGAGCTGAGTGGGGGGTCACCACAGGGGCAGGCGGGACGTGGATGGGCAGAAGGCAGAAGGCTGACGGCTGTATCTCCATTTTCCTAGCGCCCGCCACACCTTTCAGCTCCTTTTCTATCTACTGGAGTAACTGGACATCTACTCAGTGGGGAAGAGAAGGAAGGGTTGCATCGACAGAAAGTTGGAGTCACTGGACCAGAAAGCAAGATGACAGCAGCCTCCAACCCCATTTTAAAAGCCAACATTACTTCTGCCACAGCAGGAACATGCACCACGCTGGCACTCAAAATGCTGGCTGATGAAGAGCTTCAAAATTTAACACAACAGATTTCCTGTAAGCACAGGAATCTGTGTTTAATCTGTGTTTATACACTTTCAACTGTCATGACATCTTACTTTCTGCAGGATTCTTTATTTAACTCACAATGTTCCTTAATTTTACACATTTAGATATCTTTTGTCAATGGAACAGTGAGTTTCCTAAAGTCAAGGACAATGTGTTACACACTTTATATCACTCACAGAGTTTACATGTAGCAGATGCTCAACAAATCTTTGCTGAACGAATACATTTACTGTGTACAACAGACCAAAAGCATCCTCTTATTCTTTAAGTGCTTATAATACAATATTTGAGGGAAAAAACATGAGGACACCCTTTCCTCCCAGAGCACAAAATACCAGAAGAAGCAAACTTAAAAAATAGGCGTGAAACAACCTACAATCCTTTTCCACGTCGCCTCCTCTGATGGCCCACTAAGCCAGCCATGCAGACATCATAAAGATGTGCAAGACCTCTCTTGGGGCACCAGGGAGCACAACCCGACTGCCAGGAGGCACCACTAATAACCTCAACTACAGGCCCCTCACTGGCCACTGGAAAACACATGAACTAGTCTGACATAACTGCAGCTCTCTTCCCCAAAACTTTCCCCGCAATGGGATAGCCGAGATACATTTTGGAGAACAGCTCTTATGGCCACATTACATCAATGATCAGCAAAAGGAGGAAAGTGTGAAGGTGATTTTTTTCCATTTAACCTAGAGGCTTACCTGCATTTCGTATTCTCTCTCTGTACTGTTGATCTAGTTTTTTCATCCTTTTCTGATATTCCTGTAATGTACCTGATATTGAGATTTACAAAATAAAAAGTTACTGTGAAGACCAATCTGCTCCACATTTTGGTTCCCAAAATTATTTCCTAGCACCACCAATGACTGTTTTAGTAACATGACAGTAAAACACAAACCAAGGAAAGGCATACACAGAGCCAGCTGGACTCTGGTTCTCAACCAAGGCACTCAGCAGACATCACCCCACGTGGACTAAACTCTCCAGCAAGTGAAGGGGAGAAAGGCGCAGGCATCCCCAAGGGAGTCTGACTCCTTGCTGCTACAGTTTGAGTCAACGGGCTTCCCTTTCCAGGAAAAAGCTCCTTCTCCTTCAGTAACGTCCAGATGAACGCCATCTAGCAGAACTTTCTCTGTAACGGTGGAAACGTTCTACATTGCACTGTCTAATATGGTAGCCACTAGTCCCATGTGGCTATTGAGCAGGTGAAATGCGGCTAGTGCAACTGAGGACCTAAGTTATTAATTTAATTAAATTTAAATAGCCGCACATGGCTAGTGACAATACTCAACAGCTCAGTTACAGATTCTTACCAAATCTCTACTCATTTCACTGCTCCTCCCCAAAGCAGCTAATTATGAAGGTCCCACTAGAAGAAGCATTTCTTGATCATAATGCTTTAATAGGATATATTAATGGTATCTTTTTCAAAATCCCTCACCCAGCCTTGCCAGGCATGCCTTAAAGACTTGCTAGAGTGGAATATATTTCTTCCTCTGGCAACACTTTCATTATCATGGAAAGAAAAAATAAAACTCAAACAAAGGTATGTGATGGCAACTCATGGGAACATTTTCCACTATTAAGCAGAAATCAATATTAAGATGGGCTAGTCCAAGCAATAAAAGTACCTAGTGGAAAAGCAGTTTCACTGAGAAGGGGACTCCAGAAAATGAAACCCAAGAGCTAATGGCAGCAGCTAACGGTCCCTGAGTTCTCATAGTGTGCCTGACAGTGCTAGTCACTCCTCATGCATAACCTCACCTTTCATTTTCTTCATTTCAAAGATGAGAAAACAAATTAAGCAAGAGAAAGAGGTGTGCCCAACGTCCAATTTCTAGAAAGTAGTGAAGTTGGGATTCAAACCAGTGATGGGACTGGAGAGCCCATGCTCTTCACCTCCACGCTGAACTACCTTTAGTGGGAAACATGTGACAAGACACAATCCACTTTTAGTTTACCTAAGCGAAAAAGAAGATAGTGAAGAAAACCCACAGGTCACTACCATTTAGTTTGGAAAGAACAGTACCATCTTATTTATTCTCTGGTAACAACATCTCTCCTAAAAATGGCTAGCATTAGGCACAGCAGTCTTCAGTTCATGCTCTACAGAGGCCCTAAGTGAGATTTCAAAAAAGTTTGAAAATCGCCCCTTTACTGACAGAAGATAGCAAAATGTGTACTGGACAGCTAAAATCATCCAGACCAAATTTTAAGACACTCCCACAGAGAAGTGAAATACACAGATTTCAAAGGTTTGCAACATGAAGAAGTCTTTAGAAATAATTAAATCACACACCAACCTTCCTGAAGTTGCTGCAACTGTCTCTTGAGAGAAGCCAGTTTATCCTGATACATCCTGTAAAAAAGGGAAAGCCACACTCAAAGAAATAACCTTAATAATTCCAAAAGAACCCACACACAGGAACTACCTGGGTTGTTATGGGAATGTCACTGACGTTCTTCATGGAGTGAGAAAATCAAAGTCCGCCGGCGGGTTTAAAATGGACGAGCAGCTAAAGGGATCAGAAATGGACAAGAATTTTGTGTTTTCAAATCATATTCTAATTTTGTAGATTCTCCTGTGTTACTCGACCTTTAGAGAATCAGTCTGAAATCTACAAATATGAAGATACGCATATTTTAATAAGTGACAGTAATAAACAGAATTAGGCAAAGAACACAAAGAAAAATTGAAAGTGTGATGCCATTTCCTTCCAGATTTAGAAGCATAAGTAACATATACAAGAAAACGTAGAAAGGCATTAAACACAGCTCTTACATCAACTCTACAATTAGATTATAAGTTCCAAAGCCCTAAGATTACGCCTTCAGCACGATTTTTATATAGATAGCATAGCTGTGTAAGCACCAAGTTAATAAACCTTCATGTCAGTTTTAAAAGCACTATTCTTTCAGGATCAGAGAAATGACAATAATTCAGTGAAAGTTAAAATGCAGGATTTATTTGCAGTCCCAGCTGGATAAGAACACACAGCACACACAAAGCCAAAGGATCTGGCATGTTGTTCTTTTCCCCCGACACGAAATGGATCATAGGCAATTATACACTCTGCCAAGTCTGTCTGAACGGTGGATTCCACACATAAATCACATTTCAGTAGTATTTTTGCTTCTACCTGAAAAACACCCCCAATCTCACAGTGACAGAAACAAGATTTGGAATGTGCAAGAACACCATCCAACAGAGAACAGACACAATAGCCTTTGGATTGCTCAAGTAAGGGCCTCAAATACACCCCACCTATCTACAGGTTGAGGAAAGAGGAGGTGGAATCTGAGAATTACCCAGATGGTCTTTTAGGGAGAATTCTGATGCGCTCTCTATGCTCACTTTGAATTACACAAGGCATTCAATTTTAATAAAAATTATTTTCTATACTATCAAATATTAAGGAGGCACATTCAATTAAAAGATTGTCTTAAAAGAATGCTTAACCATGGGGCCAGCCCCGTCGCCTAGTGGTTAAGTTCAGCAAGCTCCACTGTGGCAGCCTGGCTTCAGTTTGCCAGTGCAGACCTACACCACTTGTTGGTAGCCATGCTGTGGTGGTGACCCACATACAAAACAGAGGAAGACTGGCATAGATGTTAGCTCAGGGTGAATCTTCTTCAAGCAAAAAGAGGAAGACTAGCACAGACGTTAGTCAGGGTAAATCTTCCTCAAGCAAAAAGAGGAACATTGGCAACAGATGTTAGCTCAGGGTGACTCTTCCTCAGCAAAAAAAAAAAAAAATGCTTAAACATATCAAGTACAGGAAAGGGAACAGATGTGTAAACTGCTCACAAGAAGTATTTGGAACACAGTGTGTTAAATTTCCCACCACAGTGAGTGTGCCAGACAACACCTTTGAATTCAGTCTGTCTTCAAAATGAAATATTAACAGATTGAAGAAGGAAACAAACAAAAATTCAGATTCTTTGAGATCACATACAGGGTAAAAGAATAGGTATGTGAAAATACATCTCAAATGGGTTAAGGTCAATGGGTAAAAAGCCTGAAGAGAATAAAAGTAAAATAAAAAGCAAGCAGTTTCAGGGATGAGGCTGTGAGAAAAACCACATGAATTATTAAAGTAATCCTTCTTTATTCAGCACTGATCAGACTTAGCTGAATTATCCCTTTGGGTTCCAAAGCTTGAAAAGGATGACAGAATCCAGAGGATGGTCACAAAACATTTGCAAATATCTATAAAGAAAGGAATGTGGATCTTCTAGTTTAAAGACAAAGAATCTGAAAAATCAAATCAAGATCCTCAAAATACATTCAATAAACACTTACTGGATATATTTTATACTGTCCTGCATCTGTGTTTACAATAAAAGTGAATGGTTTTAATTTCCCTGGGCATATTTCGTTGCGACTCTGTTGAAGACAACGGGAAGGCTTGGGTGTGGATGTGGGGTAAGCAGCAAGGACACCGGAGCAGGAGTCAGGAGCCCTGCTCTCCGGCCCTGGCCTCCCTGAGCTCTCTGACACCCAGCACACCTTCTAGCAGGCAGTCGTGGTTGGTGGGGTCAAGCCCATCTGAGAACCCAGCAGCTGTGAGACACCAGTTACCCTCTCTGAACAATGGTTTTCACATCTAAAAAAAAAAAAATGAAGAAATGGAAAACAGTTCTCTCCTATAATATGGGCTTATTCCCCGGCATCCTTTCCCTCGAGGTTCTTACTAGCCTACCCTCAAAAGATTCTTGTAACAGGAAGACTGATTAAATGTGACAAATCTAAAGGGGTAATCGCACAAACATCCATGGTCTTTGGAAGCACTAAGGTCAAAACCACGCACGCAAGGTCACTATAAAGATTTCCTTGTCAATTCTGTATTCCAAAAAAGAAATATGAAAATCCTACTCACTGTTCCTTCATTTCTACATAGTCTTCCTCGTCATGCTTTGCCAGGTCAGTTTCACTAGCATCCTCAGTGTCTAAGTAAAATTGGGGAAGAAAAGCTTGTTAAAATCATAATTCAGAGGTGGTATCATCTGACACAATGACACTTACTTCTGTAAACTGAACTTCTACTCACTGCCGGCCTGTGTGAAACCATCAACCAAAAATATGACATACGGTTACGTTAGAAAAGAAAATTCCATTTCCAACTTACACACAGCCAGATTTATGCAAACAGCTTGCCATTTTCTGAAGTGCAGCCATAGAACAGTGTGTATCAGACAGAGGCAGTCATGGTCAAGGCTGCTACTTCTGCAGAACCAACGCTGGCAGTTCAGGGACAGGAGATGTGGGTGTTAAGACTGGAAAACTACAGGCAGCCAAGCCTTGCTCACTACTCAAAAAAAATCTGATATGTACATTCCCTCCTGGCAGCTGCCCAGTTTGACTCCCTTAACAGATTTTACATCACATATATACAAAGGAGAAGCCAAACCAACTAACTGAACTCTGATAACCGAAACATTTCCAAAGTTACAACTGAAGGGAGAAGGCAGGAGACAAGAAGAACAAACAGAAACTGTTTCAGAACATTTTAAACACTATTCTCAGAATAGGCAAATGGCCAGTGTGTCTACATAATTTCAACAGCCCTACTTGAGGGGAAAAAATCAACTTTGGCTTCACCGCTCCCCCTTGTGGGCAGTAAAAGCAGCGCAAGTGATTCCTATTGAAAATCTTTGGTTAAACCTTGTTTTCAAACGTTGTTTAACCAAATGCAATCAGTTCCTTTCAACTTTACGTCTGCATTTGCAGCTGTCTTTCTAAAGGCTGCTGCAGATCCCAATTCTCCACAAACCCTTCTTCTCTCCTTCAGGGAAGAAACCTTCATTGAGTTCCTGTCATATGCCAGCCAGTCACAGTACCCGGCACTCGAGGAACCGGGATGAATGAAACATACTCCTCATTCCAGGCAGCTGGTCCAGCTTCCGCTCCACAGCCCTATTTGGGGCCAGAATATTCCATCCATATATTGGCCTCTCTTTCGTCTCTTCTTTTTTCTCTCGTCCTTTTCTGTTTCTTCACCTTTCTCGGCCTGCAGACAGCTCCTTCCTCAATCCCTCAAAAAGAGCGTCCCTCACACTTTCCAAACTGTAAAGCCCAGCCGGCAAAGCCAGGCTCTGCGAGGCAGTAACATAATATTAAGAGCACCGAACTGAAAACACAACACCTGGGCATCATTAAGCAAATCCCTATCTCCTAAACCTGTTTCCTCAACGTGAAAACATCTACTGAGTATTTACTGGGTACCAGGCCAAGTACTTATGCTCATCTCATTTACTCCTTAGACCTACCTAGGAAGGAGGTACTACCAACGGCTCCATTACAGTTGGGGAAACTGAGGCTCGGGAGCTTAACTTGTCTAACGTCACAAGGCTGGGTTAAGTGAGCCAAATTTAGACCGAATTTGATCCGGCTGATTCCAGGCCCCATTCTTTTAACCAACGTGCACCCTCAATCCTGCGCCGCACTGCCCAAAGCAAGGCTGGCTGAAGCATTTCCCCGGGGTGGGAGGGAGCAACTTGGGAACCAGGAAGCCAAACTGGGATTTGCTCTGAGCCTCTCAGGAACTAAAGAGAAGGAGTACTCAGTGCACTCAGTGGACGGCTTTCTCATTCCACCCAGTGAACACCTGAGGTTCCACCAGACTGTTGGGGGGAGCGAGGCAAGATCTTAAAGGGACCTGCAGCTCTGAGAACAGCTAAGTCCCTTCTCCCCATAACTGTGGGGGACAACGTACCCACGGCTTCTCCTTACTTCCTGGAGCCGCGCTCCTCGCAGCTGCCCCTCCACCGACCCCAAACCCCAGAGGTCGCCCCGCCCCTCTCCCATGCAGCCCCACCCTCTCCCAGAGCGGTCCCACCCCCGCCTCGGCTGCCCAGCGGGCCAACGACGCACCTTCGTCGGACTCGCGGCCCCGGCAGCTGCGCTCGTCCTCCTCGGCGCTCTCCAGCTCCTCGTCCTCCTCAGGGTAGTACTCCGCGGCCGGCGGCGCTCCGGCCGGGGCCGGGGCCGGAGCCAACAGCCCCGCCGCACTCATGTCGCCCCTGACCGCAGCTGAGCGTGCCGCCGGGCGACCGCGGCCACCCGCCCTGCGGACCCGACGTCCGCCTAGCAGCGCCCGAGGGAGCCGCCAACTCGAAGAGCGGGAGCCGCGGCGACCCCTTCCCCTGCTCCGCCAAGCTCCGCCCCTCGCGCCCGCGCTCGGCAACGGGGGCCTCGCGCCGGCGGCCACTTCCGGGTCGCGAGCTGCCCGAGGACCGCCTGACTCCGCCATCCTAAAGGGAGTAGAGAGGCCGCCGGACGTCCCCTTCGCCTTAACTCCAGCCCCTTCATGGTCGTCTTAAAATCCTCCTCGGGTGGTGGGAAGGGGCGGAGGCAGGATCTCTAGAATTAGGCAAATCCTTGGGCAGGCTTGGCCGCGGCCAGGACCCCGAAGCGCAGAGGCGACTTCCGGCAACAGCCGCCAGGCGGCGCCTGGAGCCAGAACTAAAGCGAGGATCGTTAGCGACCTGAGAAGCGGAGGGTTTGAAAGGCTCCCGGCAGGTGGAAGTGTCTCTTCTTTAATTTAAACGGGTGAACGACATGAACCATCCCCTTTATAGGTCGGGAAACCCAGACATCTAGAGTTTGCGTGATCATCTCGAAGAAAAGGAGCCGGCTTCTCCCCTAATTGGAGTTTTATTAAAAACTAAAAGACGAGGATGCTAATATTCCATTCTGGGGTCAGCACAACGGTATTTCTCCATTCGGTGGAAGTCCTTTCTGTTTGTAGAGGTTTACTCAATAAGGTGTTCTCCCTATCCTACAGATGAGAAAAGAGCTGTCGCTTGCCTTAAAAATGGTAGCATTCAATCTGCCATGTTTAGAGTCTCAGACCCAGGCCCTCATATTTCTTAGTTTTTAAAAGGTGGTTTTGCCCAATCCAATAACTTGCTAATCAACTGTCAACTGAGCGAGTGAAACATTTGTCTACAGGAAGTTAATTAGGCTAATGTAAGGAAGGTGCTATGTGGAAATTTAGAAAACGAGAACTGAATATCTGCATGAATTAATTCGTGTGATTTCCTCTGAGCAGAAGGGGACACAGTGTTATAAGCTTTGCTTAATGAACACATTTAGGGTGTCCTTTGTCCAGTTGTGTGTAACAAGGGAAAGGGCCCAGAGATGTTTAACGGTTTGTCCAAAGTAACCCTACTCTTTTTGTTGCACCCAAGTCTCCACAGAAAAAGTAACTTACAAGTAGACAGATATAAAAGCCAGGGTGGAACCTAATATTCTGATTCTCAGATCCTTCGTGCCCAAATTTATCTCTGAATTGGCCCCCATAGAGTCTAATGAAAGTGAAAAAATTTATGCTCATCACATTTAACATCTCTGATTTTTTACTTTAATTAAAATCTTGGCTCTATTTGTGAAGGGTTTTTCCTCCCACCAAAAGTCAAGAATTTCCAGAATGGAATGCTCCAGTGTCTTTCCAGGAGTTCAGAGATCTTCTGAAGCTCCTTCTAAATAAGAGTCATTCTCAAGGTTCACTGTGGACCCACCATCTATATTTAAACTAAGATTTCAGAACTGTCTCTTGTCCAAAAGATGAAGTCATTTTCTTTTCTTATGCTGTTAGATCACATATAAATTATCTGTAATCAACTATATTGAGCAACTGAGTTGCTATCAGTAGCAATAATCATAGACCAGAAAAGGCAGCAACATTTTAGAAATTAGAGTTCGTTGATATGAATCAAAAGAAAAGAGCTGATTTCATTGCTAAGTGGTTTCTTTTCAAGACGCTGGGATTTTTATTTTGCTTATGTTTTATTTCTATCTTCTTGATTGCAAATAACATCTGTTAATGGTCATGCATTTCTTTTTTATATGGACAGACACAGCTGAACGCTTGGGTGGTGAAAACTCACCCTATTTCTTCCATTCATATTGTCAACTGCAGAGTTGGTAGGATGAGTTCTTAACTAATAAATACTCTTTAGAGAAGGAGTACCTAGTCAAAAAAAATCCCTGCATGACTTTAGTCTTACCCACCTTTACAGTTGTTTAATATAATGCTTTTGGACAGACTCTCTAGGCCTATAAAAATCAAGTTCCCTCTAAACCAAGTTTTACCACCTTGAAATCTCTCTGCATCCCTTCCTAAGGTGGCACTCAGTCTCGCTGCTCAGGAGACATGTACTTCAGAACCCGTCTCAAATGAAGTCCTGCCAGCCCTGTTTCCGCAGGCCCACTCTGCATACCCTCAAGCTCAATCTTAAACTTTAAAGGCAAGCATTGTAATTAAAATGGGGCATGATTTTAAAACACTAGTGAAAACATGTAGAGTGTTTTTAGAACACAAATTTTGTCAGTGGAAGTTAAAACAAAGGAGTTAATGATGGAGAGTTTTCTGAGAGAGAAGTCCTGTATACGTCTGACAAGGCCTAGGATCAAACTGTGTTCCTGAAATGAAACAATTTCTTGATAAAACACTAAATTGTCAAGGTCCATAAACTTTGGGGTTTAAGGTCAAGGAAAGCAGTTTTCAGTTCCCAGTATTGATTTAATCAACATATCCAGTTTCACAAAAACAGAAAGCATGGCGCTGAGTAATATGATGCACTCTGACCCCTGTCTGGCACCATCTTTCAGCTTGGGTCAAGACGGGTCTCTGGTTTTCACAGGTTGCACTTGGGACAAAATTCATTATACTTTGGCCATTAGTTCACACAGAATCATTAAAACAGTTGCCCTGAAAAAGAGTATGTTGAATAGCCTGAAGCCTCGCTAAAGCTAACAAGGGTTCCTCTATGACACAGTTCCTGTTCCTCCTGTCACAATGATAATCAAAACCTACAAACAGTACATCTAGAGCTTTATCCTTGTACTATCAGAACGTGACCCATCAGTGTTGAACACCTAGTTGTGCAGAGTATGCATCTATATATAGATTTTATTTTTTCCCAACAGCATTAAAGTGACGTCTGTTGAACGCATGCAAGGAAGGGCAACTCCCTTGCCAAAGATACAAAAGTTAAAATCCAGGAAATATTTACAAGTCCTGAGTAGATCAATGCTGTATTAATTGACGGCAGAATTACTTAGAAAGCTGTGCAAGGTCTAGCGGGGGAACGGGGACCCCCTCGAAGGCTCCAGCACGGTGGTCCCGGGGAGTCCCAGAAGGCCTCGGCCTTTGGGAGTCTCCCAAGAAAAGTAAAGGCTTAGGGAGGAGTGCCATGAACTTTGACCCCACCGCAGCACAAACAAGGCTGACCGCACCCCAGGCGGGCCCGCGGGTAACTGAAGTTGCAAGGTCTTCCGCGTCTGAGGAAGCCCCGCCCCGCCTCGTCCCGCCTCCCGTCAACTCCGCCAATCCTTAGGCGCCATCGACCGCTCTTGCTTCCCAGGCGCCTCCAATCAAGTGCCTATATCCGGCCCCAGGCCTATGCCCCGCGATCAGGGAAGGTCAGTAGAGAGCCTATCGGAGCCGAGCTGGGGGCGTGGTCGGGGGCAGGGGGCGGGCACCTGAGACGGCGGGGCGGAGCGCGCTCGGCGCAGTCGGGTGCGATTGGCCACCCCTGGCAGGAGCCGCACCTCGGACAGCAGCAGCGGCGGCCGCGGGAGGGTCCGTGTGGCGCCCGGCGGCGGGGTCCTGCGCGAGAGAGTGGGACCCGACGCGGAGACCGCGGGCGGAGGCTCCCCGCGGCCGCACTGGGCCCTCAGCGACCGGACCCGGGGATCCTCTGGGGGACAAGCGGCAGAAGAGCGACTCGGGAACAAGTGTGGGAGAGGAAGCGGCGGCGGCGACGCCGGGCCCGGGGGTGGTGACAGCAGGTCTGAGGTGAGAGCACCGGGGCGCGGGGCGGTGACAGTGTGAGCCCAGGCGAGGGGACCCTGGGCAGAGTGAGGTCGGCGAGGACCCGAGTGAGGGGAGTTCCGGGAGCGGGTCTGACAGTCCCGACTGTGGAGTGGAGACCCGGAGAGGGGTCGGGACGGCGGGTCTGAGGGGGACCCGAGAGAGGCCAGGAGAGCGGGTCTGACGGGGGACCCCGAGACGGGCTGGGACAGCGAGTCTGAAGAGAGGGAACCCCAGCAGGGGCCGGGACAGCGGATCTAAGGGTGGTCCCGAGAGTGGCCGGGACAGCGGTTTATTGGGGGTGGTCCCGAGAGGGGCTAGGGCAACAGGGCTGAGGGAGGGGTCCCTGAGAGTGGCCGGGACAGCAGGGCTGAGTGGTGGTCCCGGAGAGGGGATAGGACAGCGAGTCTGGAGAAGGGACTGAGAGGGGCCGGGACAGCGGGTCTGATGGGGGACCTCCAGGGGGCTTGGGACGGTGAGGGGACCCCGAGGAGGGCTTCTGAGCGTGCGAGTGGACGCGCGGCCCGGCCCTGCGTGGGAGAGGCGAGGGAGCTCGGGTCAGGGTCGCAGTCTCGGCCGAGTTGGGACCGCCGGACCCAGAGGAGAGGGGAGCGCGCTGCTCCCAGGGTCCCCGGTGAGCCGATCTCCCTAAGGGCAGTGTGTGGGGTGTGGGACAGCCTGCGCCCCCGTGACTCTGTGGGTGACTCGGTGGAACAAGGATTATGTAATGAAACATCTCCCAAGTAGAGCGCGCGGGCCGGAGGGTCTGGCAGAAGCACAGAGATCTGGAAAGATCGAGAGAGACGAATCGCTGGTCCTCTCCCCGCTGGCCCCCTGGCTTCCCATTCGTTGCTGAGTTGGGCGTGCATGCCCTGAAAGTGAGGGGCTTCCCGACCTTAACAGCTTCACAGAACGTGAAAAGTTGGCGAGCGCTCCTACCCACCACTAACAAGTTGAAAGGGAAAGGGCTCCTTTTGGAGACCCAGGTTTTGCATTAATTAGGATGTTTATTTTGATAGACCCTGTATTTTTCATTTTAGCCCAAGGAGCTAAGAAACTTTCAGATTTGGCAGCACACCAGTGTCAATGTTTACAATGCAGATTTAAAGGAACTATATACTAAGTTTAGCTGTTTAACTTTGATGTGTGGGGGATAGTGGGAAGGTCAAACTAAAGTTTGAAAAGTATTGGAAAAAGTATTGAAAGTATTGGAGTCGCTAAACTAACAGGACCATCCAATTAGACTTCGCATCCTACAAGCTACCAGGACTGAGCTTCAGGCATAATTCCAGGACAAGCTAAGGAGAGAGATAAGCCTATTTAAACCAGACACTGTATGTCCTGGTGGGAGGCAGGTGTGTGTCTATTAAAATG